TGTTATACGTGGCTTAAAATATTTACACTTGGGCACTAAAAATATACATAACCTGAAAAAACAATTATAAGTTGACTATTTTAAAGTATACAAACCTAAAAAAAAGCAATTTTAATATTTAAGACTTACCGAACGTGAAGGAGGATTTTCCTCGTCTGAGGAGCTGATGGCTGTAAGGCCGGCTAGCAGAAACACTACCGAAAGAAACTTCATGGTGAAGATATTCACAGAGAGTGATGAGGCTTCAATTTTTGACTCTGATATATATACAGAGATAAAACCTCGAATCAGAGTGACCTGACCCTCAAAATAATCGCAATGCTATCTCTTTGACAGCTTGCCAAATTTGTTCCTCTGCTAATTTATGTGGAAACAACCTCCAAATGATTTGCAATTTCCTTGATGACTTTATATGGAGAGTTGTTTATTCTGTCCTCGGCATTTCCTTAGTCTAGTTTTGTATTTTTCTTTGTATGATACTTAATGCTATTTAGCTAGCAGAACTTTGTATTTGTCAAATAAATGTTATCTTTCAAGTTGGTATGTAATTTTAAACTATCTTTGTATTTTTCTTTGCATAATAGTTAAATATTATTTTTAAGCTGCAAATTTTATATTTCCCTTCATATAATAGGGGGCGATGTCTACTTGTACCGGCGTCTAGTTGTACCTGCTGCATTTTGGTGACAGGCGTCTAGTTGTACCCCGTCCAAAGCTGTAGAGACAACTTGACGATGGTGCGGACGTCTAGTTGTACCTACGACTAGTTGTCTCTACGTCTAGTTGTACCTCTTAAAAATCTACAGGTACAACTAGTCGGGAACGTCACCGTCTACTTGTACCTCATACGTCTGCGTCTACTTGTACCTACGACTACTTGTACCTACGACTACTTGTACCTACGACTACTTGTACCTACGACTACTTGTACCTACGATTTATTAAAAATCATAAATCTTACAACAATTTATTATAAACAACTTGCTACAAAAGCCAGGCAAATTTGGCTTGTCTGCAGCTCATTGAGAAACCCCTGTACTTGACAACAACGTACTTGTGTCCCTTGGTCAGTCCTTATCCATATTACACTTTGGTTTTCCTTATTTCTTGTCAAGATCTGCTATCATTGTTTTTTCCACTTAAACTGTACCTTTCTATAGAAAACTAACATTAACTAGCTTAAACAACAACTTTAAACAATTATCTTAAATAAATAAATTCAGAGTTTACAAAAACAAATAATTGAGTATAATAAAGTGTTTTTGTACGGTATTAGTCACGGAGAATATTACAACAAGTTCAAATTAAATATGTATATGTTATTCTTATGGATATTACGTAAACTGGCGTAGTTTGGTGGTTGATGCATATACTTTGACAAATTAGTTTATTTCACACTTAACTACTAACTTTTCTCAAAAAAACATCTTAATTACCTTCTACGCAAACGTAATTAAAACTCAGTATTGAAATACCATTGAAAAAATAACCCAGATATGACTTTTTTTGCGCGCGCTCATTAGTTCTTAGTAAAACTAATCTTGGTTTAGTTGCAGACTACATAGGCAGTGTACACATACCTAGCTCAGTATGAAATTTAGTTTATATAGTTTAAATGTAATGAAGAAATATATAAAAAGAACAAAATAATTATTATGAATGTAAAAAATAATTTACATATAATTGAATTTAACAAGAACATGTATTCAAAGGGAAAAATATACTATAATAGAAATTAAAATTCAGTTATGTTTAATCTCTACGAGTTCATGGCGTGTTCCTGAATCAACAATAAGGTATATCGTCTTATTGTCCTAATAAACACGAGAGACATTCGCCTATCTTTATGGTCGTATTATATAAATAACATTGAACTGATTAATTTAACAAATGATCATTGTTAATTTATTCTAACAATTAGGCTATTTATGTACTGTACATTTATGTTTTATGTTTTACATTTATGTTTTATATGTTTGTTTTGTGCTGTATTTATGTTTTAGTATATATATATACTGTTTAAATATTTATTTATTAAATCAATGTCCTGACTAATCAATACACAACCTAAACGATATTAACTAGAGATTTGATCATATTGACATAGCATCTCTTTATAAGAAATCTGTCCGGAGTATGTGCAATTTTGGTTTATTAAACTTATTGGTATATTGGTGTAAGATTGTTTTATGTTTATTCGTAATCCGTACGCATAATATCTACACGAAGTTGAAGCTTTTGCTTTGGTATTAACAGTCAAGTAAAATAAATAAAGAATTAAAATAAATAAATAATTAAAATAAATAAATAATTAAATAATCTTATAAATTTAAGAAAATGGGTTATTCGTTTGGCTCTGCTACCCGACCATTTTTATTATTGAGGTCTCAAATTAAAGGTATGCACGCACAGATTTGCCATCAAGCATCGGCGTATATGATTTTCTTCGTTAGGCTAAACAAATCATGTTAACAATTTAATTTTTGAGTTGTTCTAATTCTTATAACGTAGTTTTCTAAAGTTATCTGTTTTGGCTGCCTAGAAATAATCGGACGTTTGTTTCTCCTTAGAAAATGTATTGATAATTATAATAGTGATAGTTAATTATGTTACAAGACTATGACAAATTGCCAATTATTGAGTCAACTTGGTCCCCACGCACAGGCTTCGCATATGTGGGCCCTGTCGATTTTCAGAAATTACGTCCATTCTGTATCTATTATTCTTTTGTTATGAATTGCTTTTGATTTTATTTATTTGATTTAATTTTACTATGGTATTTTGCCGGACAAACTCCATTAAACATATAGCACGGGTGGAGGTTAATTTAACAACTTAAAACTAATTCATTCAACAATAGTTTGCCTGAAAACTATTTTACTAATATTTGTTTAAAGTTTTACAGAATACACTTACACATGATGCTATTGTATGTTTTTATTTATACATGATATCGGTACTTACAACAAAACTTGTGAATTTTTGTGTTTATTTATACATTTATTGTATGGCAACAACGTAAACTTAAAGATAGGAGCGAGTGTATGCAATTCCAAGATAGAGTTTAGTATCCACCGATCCTACGATAGTTTAAGAGTATATTTTGTACCTAGGGCCGAAAATGACTTTATATCAATAATGTAGGCAAGCATGTTTCTTTACAACCTTTTTATCAGCTCGTGAACATCACAGAGAAAAAATCCGCATTTCGGTGGAAATGTATTTTGCTGTCGATCTACAGAATGCCTTTATAAATTAAAATAGGCTAAAAAGACATAAAAAAAAGAATTACAAATGTTTAAAACTAACATGGGTTTAACCGGTGGGGCACACGGGAGGGACTAAGGCTAACATATCTTGTATTGTCAGCGTTCGCCGCTAGGACTGCTAAGTTGAAAAAATTTAAATTAATATTTAATTTTTTGTGATAAAATTAACTTTTTAATTATAAAATATTGTTTTAAAATTATAAAATTAATTTTTAATTTTTAAAATTAAACTGTCATAACATAACCTAACCAACCAGACTTGCTGATAATATAAAAACTATATGAGATAAAAATCTAATTAATGATTACTTATAATTTTTAATTAATTATAAAATTAATTTTAAAATTTAGTATTATAAAATTAAACTGCCATAACCTAACCTAACCAACCAAACTTGCTGATATGAAAAATTAGTTGTCAAAAAGTTAGTACTGTCGGCGGGTTTCGAACCCCGGACTTCCTGAACATCAATCCGAAACGCTACCATCTATGCCACGAATGTCGCTGAAATCACGTCGTTTCGTTACGGTAATCGTGTCGCCTCAAGAGAAGACATTAACCACTAGAGATATGACGTCACTACACCTTTAGCCTTAGTCCCTTCCGTGTGCCTATTCCTGGGTTTAACGGGTTGCTATGCTGGTGACGAAATAACAACTAATTATGAAAATAAAATCAAAACAAATGGAACATATTCCAATCACATTTATTATTTAGAGTGTATGTTAAATGGAGAAGTATGTATTGTACATTGCATAGTTTTTGTCGAGTTTTCAACCGCTAGACCTAAACTTCATTGTACACTTCATTGTTCATTGATCACTGGGAAATCCATTGTAAACTATAAGATATGCACACTAATCAATGCAAATACTCTAAGGTTATGTGAAAAAATATTTAAAGGAATCAGCAAAAATAGTAATACATAATTGCTGGGCAGCGGTCTATTGCAATTCATTAGGGATATACTGCTTGTATATTTAATGATATATATAAATGTTTTAATTAAATAAGCGATTTTCGGTACCAGGGCTGGAAAATTTTAATCACAACTATAGCTGTCATTTCGACCCTGGTCAGCAATCGGTCGACCCTGGCGTAGCTTTCAGCCTCCAATTAACGTCTGTAAAACTACTAAAACATCGTATTGCAGTGAAAAATATTTGCCAATCATACTCAATCGACTCGGAACACTGCAGTTCCTGATTTAATTAAGGGTATTATTAAAAAATACTCGTGCAGTAATCAATTAAACAGGGTAACGAATTGAAGGATAGATACAACTAGACTATAAGGATGCAAAATACGCGTAGGTACAACTAGACGTAGGGACTACTAGTCGTAGGGACTACTAGTCGTAGGGACAACTGGTCGCATCCGTACAAGCTAGGTGATACTACTTGTCGGTGGGATACACGTCTAGTTGTACCTACGTCTAGTTGTACCTCCTAAAAATCTGCAGGTACAACTAGTCGGGTGAGCCACCGTCTACTTGTACCTACGTCTAGTTGTACCTGCAGATTTTTTGACCCTAGGCCTCGAGGTACAAGTAGACGGAGGGACAACGAGACGGAGGGACAACGAGACGCGGTCCCTATAATAGTTAAATGCTCTTTGGAGCGGTAATTAATGCATTACCCTTTTACCCTTCATTTTGCAAATTACCTTCTAATTATTGGTTGTAGCAGGGAAGATATTAAAAACAATCGAAATAAAGAAATAGTACATTTATTTTTCTATATTTTTTATTACATAAAGAACTTTACGTTGGGGCTTCGCCCTGTCATCCCTGTACATTGGATTTTGAAGCCGCCTTTGTTGAAGCGGTCAATCTGCTGGTTTGTCAGCTGGTCGACAAATCTTCGAGGGAGGAAAGTGATGGCTGTCTCTCCCTTTGGCATGACGATTTCGACCATGATGGATGGGCCGTATTTCGTCTCCGTGCGCTTCATGGAGTTTATGGGGTAGCCCTCTGCGGCGGTGAGGTCCTTACAAGGGACCTTAGAAGGACCGTCATAAACCTCGAGGACAGCTAGTTCTTGCAACATTTGTTTGTCCATTATCTGAAATTACCAATTTGAGATTAATAAACAATCTTTTCCTGCTGTATTCTTTAGTAAAAAAACTGTTAAATGTGTCAAAGAGACCATATAGTTGAATTGTTTTTATTCTGTATTTTACCTGTTTTACTCGTTATTTTAAAATTTTTACATTAAATTGACCAGCAAAAAAAAATATATTAAAAAGTAATAAATCATACTTACAATGATGTAAATGTTTAAGATGGCAGATGATGTTGACTTCTAGAGTGGTGCTGCTATACTGACTATCTCGATGTTGGTCCTGCTTAAATAGGGGAAAATGGGGGACAAAGTTCACCTTGTGATGTAACTTTTAATCTGCTTGGATATTGACCCACGTTTCCACACCACCCATGAGGTAGGGGTCTCAGCGCATTCTTTTTTTGTTAACTCAGAGGCATCCCCAGGAGGTCTACACCCTCTGAGATAGACTGCCCCATCCATCGCAGTCTATGGTGATGGCCACTCCATAACAAATATGCCACCTCCCAATATTTTTTTTATTTTTTTTATTTTTTTTGTCCTTTGACTAATGTAGAGGGTTATTTACTTGGTGAAGCCTTTCAATTAACCCTTTTACCACTGACAAAGGATATTTTACTTTTATATATTTTTTTTGTCCTTTGACTAATGTAGAGGGTTATTTACTTGGTGAAGCATTTCAATTAACTCTCTTGCAACTGACAAAGGATACTTTTTCTTTATATTTTTTTTGTATCTTCCAGATCATCTGAGGGGGTTACACATACATTTGAGGATGCCTGAGGGAGACTCAATGTCTTAAGGTTTTTAGGCCAGCCTCCTCACCCCGTGGACTTACAGGTTTTACGCCAGCCTGATGAGTGAGTGGCGATCCTCTTTGAGGTTTATATCAACCTTATGCCCTGTGGACTTATGGGTTTTAAGCCTGCTTGTTGAGCATATAAACCGCACCTCAGATGATCTGTAAGATTTTTTTAGTAAGAAATATCTATATACGATAAATGATCATCTACAAACTTGCTACTTACATCTTGATATAACAAGATATAATCCCAATCTACTTTACTAGCATAGTCATGAATGAAGGGTTCGGATAGTTTTTGATATTTACTAACAATATCCCAACACCCATCAAAATTAAGAGCCATTTCTCGAAGGAAGGCTTCTGAGAATTTTTGACGCTTCAAAATTAGACTCCAGTTGACTTTGTGAAAATAAATCCTAAGCATATCAATAGAAAAATTATATTTATTGGATAAAATGTTCCAGTCCAAAAACCGATCAAACTTCATTATAAAGCTGTCAGTCATCACCCCTTCGGGCTCCTTTGGTTCTTGTGACAATAGTGACCAGACGTTTTCCATCTCCAAGCTCATACTGACCAGCTTCATAAAGTGAAAGGCTTAAGTAGTACTGAAGTGTGTATGCAGTACGTACGGCACACTTTTTATGGTCACCCATAGAACATGCTATTCCTGGCATAGCGTCAATAGCGGGACCATCTATTACACGAACATCTGAATGAAACCTCTTCAAAAACTCAGCTTTCTCCCTACCTTTAGTATATATACATTGAAAAGGGAGACATAAGGCTGAAATTAAACCCTCATTAAATGGTATACTACCCTCTTCCCAACGCAAACCATGATGATTTCGAGAAAGCCAACGATTGGTTTTTTGGGCTTTAGAGTTTAATTGATGAAAGCCGTAGGGAGGTTTAAACAATATTTGGCACTCTAGAGAACCACCAACAATGGCCAGTTCTTTTATAATGAAATTATCATTGTTATCTTTAAAAGCTTGAAACTCTACTACAGCCTCCATATTGACAATTCACTTCTAAGACGATCAGCAACGTCAGATGGTAGCTCGTCTGTTTGTTCTTTAGCGTCAGCCAAAACTTGATCGATAAAATCTTTAATGAATACTTCCAAGTAAAATAATTCCAAGAGGTTTCTACAAATTACAGGGATATTCTTTATTAACTGATTCCACTCAACTAAATTAAGGGACAAGGAGTGCTCACCGTCACTAATGTACGCGTACTGATTTCCAAATACGTTATTTACTTTGATACTTGATCCTTCGTCGGTCTTAATATTTTCTGATCGTTTTTCCAAGAGAGCTAAAGTAATTAAGTTGAAACGATCACAAAGCTGACAAAATGAATCGTATGACCAATAAACACAACCCCTTTTACCTTTGATGATTACCCCAAGACTGCTATCACGGTTTTTAACAATTCCTGTTATCGCACACTTGGTAAGCTCGGAGTCCAGGAAGTAAACTGACTTTAGAAAGACTCCGGTTAAAAGATTTATAGGCTCCTTCTCCTTAGGGATAGCTATAGCGTTAGCACTTACCTCTGTCTCCTGTGAAGTCATCTCTGCAACTAAACTACTTTCCTTATACCCTTAACCTACATCCCTTAACCCTCCCCACCCTACCCACTCATGGTTCATCCGAAAAGTAAAATAACCCCTCCTCCCCCTCCTCCTCCTCCTCTTCTGAAGACTCCTCATCTGACATAGAAGGACCTTCTCTAATTTTAACAAGGATTTTACTAGTACCATGGGGAACATTAAACTTTTTCATATCTGCATATATTTTAAAACAGTCTACCTTCTCTAAGCCAAGCAATATGTTATGCTCGTCATAAAACTCAACAGTAAGCCATTCCATGTTTACCACCTGAATGTTTACCCTAAACTGATCGCAATGCTACCCTTACATAGATATCTTTCTCACATCCCCAGTGATTGGTGTGTATGTGTAGTGTGTATCATGAATAATGAGACAGTATGCGCTTGTATTTGCAGGGATAGCATTTTTAAATTGAATTTCCAGTCTAACATCTACAGGACCGGTTTTAATAGTATCATCCTGTTCAGAACAGTCGATTACATAAATTGGACAGTTTGATGTGAAATCACTAAAGCTTAATATAGGAGAACCAACTCTTCCGTAGTAGGAGCTTTGGAAACTTGTATACATGTCATAAAACAAACAAGAGTTTCCACGGATATTATCGTAAGGGTAAAAGTTTGAATTCAAATACAATTTTACATCCTGTAAATCAGCAACGTCAAATTGAGACATGTCTTTGGTTACACTATTTTTCCTACCAGTTTGAAATGCTAAAACAATATATCGTGGTTTTTCTGTTTGGTTAGAAGTTTTAAGAGTCCAAGACATAGACTCAGTTGTGGGTAGGGTTGGGTATTCAATTAACTCCCATTGCCGAAATGGAATATGAATAGTTGGATCTTTCTCGATATACTTATACAGTTTTAATTTCTGGCTATCATTTACAGTTATATGAGGTATACGCCAGTAGATCTTATCAATTTTTAATGTCACCATACCTTCATTAGTGGTTAATACAGCATTTTCATCTCTGGATGAACGCAATAGGATGAGCTCTTGTTTAGCATTCACCAAAACTTTTTTATAGTCCTCTGTGAACCCCAACAAAAGTTTCAAAGGTACTGAATATACAAAATCCTTAGCTTTTTCGACTTTACCGGGTCCCAACCAACACGCATTCTTATAAGTATTTTTCTCTTCCTCCCTAATGGAAACGAGATTTTTCAAAGTTGTAGTAATGCCTACATTTTTTGTTCTATCAATTTCTTTTCCGCAAAGCTCGTAGCGAATTTCCTCAAATAAAAATGCAATTGCGTTGTTAACAAGTGATACTTCTTGTGATGAACCGTCAGTTTTTTTAGCACTGACCGAACCATGAATGACAATACTACTGTAAAATGGAGCTGTAATTATGTCCTGTTGTAGAAGTGGAATTCTAATTTCATCATTATTATTATAAGTAGTAGATGCGTATGGTTGGTGAGTGTGAAATTCCATACTGGTGATTAAATCATCGTATGCTGCTGCTTGACCTATCTCTAACAGAGCCATTTTTTATTACTTTGAAGCCGAGAGAGCGAAGAAAATTTATATTTTTACAAGTTAATCCTTTGGATGTCTGGTTACTACTAAATCGTCGAACTGTAGGTAAATCACTAAATAGCAGACCCATTACTCCGTCTAAGATGGAGCCTTACTGAAATTCTTTCTCCACGAAAATTAACTAATTTACCGTCTTGATCTCTTAGGGAGATTGTCAAGTTGTTTATCCTCTGGCTGATCACTGGCAAATAAATAACATTCCGTGGTATTTCTATTATTTTATAGCCTGGTGGATCTGCAGGATAGAACTCATGTATTACATGGTCCTCTATCCCGTTCAAAAATGAGCCACGTGTAACGTTACAGTCCACCCGTATTGAGTTAACTTTAATTATATCCACAGGTAGCTCCGAGGCATGCTGATTATTAGCTTTATAAATTTGGTTTTTAAATCCAAGTAGTTTTCCCAAGGAGTGGTCCTTTTCAAAATCAATATCTTCTGAACAAAATAGCTCTGCTTTTAAAGTATTATTATTAGGTTTTAATGTAAACTTTACCTTTTTCGGCAGTTTAGAAATTATATATTTTTCAATATCCTCAATTTCGTATGAACCTTCTGGTATAGTGATAACTTGATCTTTACCATAATAAAACTTGTTATTTACATTATTTTCTATGTTTGGTATGGAATTATATGTAGTAAGTTCTATTAATCCTAGTTCCCAATCCCCACTAGTAACATCAATAGGAAATGAAAGCTCGTGTGAAAGCACACTGGTTACCCCGGTAAGACTAAACATCGTTGCAGAGAAACTTTAAACACAAGTGACCGCAGATGACTGAGTTGAAACTTTGCTCTCTTTTGTAGTTATAGTGTATTTCACAATCCTCTAGGTACCTGATTAGTTCCCTCGGTGGTTTTAAATTCCAAAACTATCGTAGTAATAAACTGTTTTATCATCTTTTTTATAGCATACCCAGTGTGTTCCCTGGCCAAAATTATCATCCAAGTTTACAATGGCTGATTCGTGCTTTTTAGGCAAATTTGGTAGTTTATCCCTCATAAAAACCCCTCTAAAATTTGGAATTTTTAACAATTTTACATACTTAACTAAATCATAATTAGTAAGAGGTTTTAATGGTACCGAGATGCTTTTTTTTATTACCCTTTCGTTTATTTTTACGTTTACCAGCACCTTCCTTTCTATAAGGTCTGAGGTATAATCCTTTTCCTTTTAATCGCTTAACACTGCGCTTCTTTCGCCGACCTCCCCCAAACTTAGTTTTCGCCTTCATTGCGGTTGTAACAGCCCAAGCTGAGGCTTTTTTACCTACCGACGAGTCTGAAGCTTTAAATCTTTGCCAAGCTCGTTCTGCAAGCTCCTTGTCCGCTTGTCTCCTACGCTCAGAATCTTTGTACCTCGAATACGCAATATCGTGGGACTTACACGCTTCGTCTAAACCGTTTATTCCTTTATCTCCTCTTGCCAACCTTTTGGACAATTTTGTACCCGGCCCACAATAATTATACCCCGGTAAATGCAATTCAACAGGTAGTAAGTCGATAGCTTTATTAAGAACAGATGAAACAAT